TCACCCACTCACTCACATATTCACCTACCCCATTCTAATCTTTTAGACTTTTAATTTTTTTTTTATTAAAAGTAGGATTTAACCATTATATCCCCTGCTTCCCCTTTTGGGTTCTCTGCTGTCCCCAAAGTTGGGCTATTGTATATTCTGTTCAAATATGTGGGCGGGTGGGACAAAGGCCAAAATTTTTCCCAGAGTACATCAAGTTGAACATAATTGAAAATGGTGTCTTTCATGTTGGGCCATTTGCTGAAATGATAAAGGTGTGTTTTCCCTCTTTTTGCTCCATGCTTGAGCAAACTACACCTTTGTACATATACTATAGACCTCACAAATGAAGAGCAAACCTGGAGAAGAATACTCAACTGAGAGAAATAGGCTTTCATAAGTATCAGAATTAACAATGACAACAGTTGCAACAATCGATTTGTGAAAATATTTTGTGTATAGCAGAAGCAATTTAAACTCTTGTTTTCAGATTGATTTTTGCTTATCTGCTTGGTTGTCATTTGGCTATATTTCAAAGATATTTAGCAGCTGATTTGAGCTTTTGTGGATTTCATTGGATTTGACCAGTTTCTATTTGTTACACAGTTACCTTGTAAGCTATTTGTCCAGCTATGTGAATCTTATAAGTCAGATTTTTTGTGTGCTGTTGAATTTGGTTACTTGCTTGTGCAATATTAAACATGTCCATCATTCTCCCATATTTTTTTCCTGTTTGGCCATCAATTTATTTGACTTTTAAAAAAGGTTGTGTTGAAGCCTCGCCATAAGGATATTGTTAGGTATATTTCTACTGTAAGCACTACAGCAAAAGCTTTTAAAGTTAGTAATGAAAAGGTAGTTTAAGGGCAAGTCACAAAATATTGGAGATGGCAAATGGCTAAAGTTCTCATCACCCAGTTGAATAATTAAGACATTCCATGAGTTAGCTCCAAGGAGCCTTTGATTGACATAATGTCTATTGGTGTTTTTCACTGTCATGCAATTGAAATCTAAAGTCAAAATTATTGAATGCCCAACTCCAAGAGAGCTATTGTCAGTAGAATATTGATATACAACTTGCCCAAGTTTCAGGAATGTAGGGTCTTATGTGCACAAACATTTGTTGTCTTGTTTCACCACTAAAATGATTAATATTTATCCACTGTGAACTCACAAATGTTAATCTAAACACATTTGATTTAATGATCAGGTAACAAAATGTCACACTGTAAAATCATATTTTACATACGAAGCAGCCTTTTCAGGCAGCTATTCCTACATCAAATAAAAATGAAATTTGAATGGCTCTACATTCAAAATAGGGAACCCCACATTGCTGAAACTGCTTTCCAAAAGGTTAATGTTTAGCAGAAATTTTGTAAAACTGCAGCAATAGCCCCTGTCATTTTGAATTTTTATTATGTTACGTGAACCCAAGGATACTTGATATGTCTTAGTCTGGGCAGAAAACTGTACAACTGAGCAATTTTTCCAAATTTCACAATTTTACTATTAATAATATAGTGTTGCTATGGTTTCACATCTGAGTTTGGAAAAGTCTTTGATCTGCATGAGTGGTTTTTATCTCTGTTGTTTATAGTCATACTTTAATTTAAGGTTTTTTTGTTTGCAGAGAGGTACATAACTATTGCTATCTGTGTTTTCTTGCAGGAGTGCTTGCCTGCCTTGATGGTTACATGAACATTGCTCTAGAACAAACAGAGGAGTACGCTAATGGGCAGGTAAGCAAAATTTTATTTACATATGCAAGTTCTCATATTTAAGATAAGTGTTACTGTAGTTCTTGAACTGTTTTAGTTCATATTTAAAATGACAAAACTAAAAAAACTTCTACAAAGTTTTGTATTAAACCATTTGAGCATGTTTTAGATTTGAGGACTTGTAATCCTTTTGACAAGGTGGCATAAATCCTTGAATTTCATCATATTTATAGAAATTATAGCATTAGTACCAAATTATCAAAATGCAAAAACATGATAGGAAAAAAAAATGTTCATACAATGATGACATGTAGAGGAGATGAAGATAATACCATTGTCGGTGTGATGGCCTAATTGAATAAACATAGTTTGCACTGTTGTAAATCAGTATTGTAAGGGACTCCCAAAAGCAGGATCAAACAAAGTTATTGGCAATCTGATGATTTTAGGTAAGAGAGGATAAGCTTTAGGACCCTTGAGCTGATATCACACTTATTCTCCTGAAGGCTTCATCACTTAATTAAAAATGTTATCAAGCTGTTTTTCAATGTTAAATCCTAAGGGAACTCCTGTACCTTGTTCTTCTGCCCCAGCCCTCCCTCCTAGTTTCACAATAGAACTTTCTAAACATTAATGTCTAAAATGAATTTTTATCTTGTGGCTTGTGAGGCATCCTTTCTTCAATTGGACTTCTAATAAGGAGGAAGGATGAATTCACCCAGAAGTAATTAACATGTAACTTCTTATAATATCCATTTGTTATCCAGCAAATGGATAATGAGAATACTCAAACTTATCAAAGGTAGAAGATATTATCTTGATTTACACTGAAACATCAAATCATCAATTTAACTAATTTACCAGGAAATATGTGATAGCTAGAGGGGAGAATTAACAATCTTGAGAGTTTAAGGGTGAAAAAAAAGGAATTCTTTGACCATGAAGGAAATGTTAGGTGTTCAAAAATTTCTATAGGTAAGTTGGTTAACAAACATTGCAGGGTAACTGGATTCTCTCTGGAGTCTATTGCTTAGTTTCAACTGATATTTTGATGTGCAGCATGCCAAATAATTTGATGTATTCACTTATTTTTCAGTTGAAAAACAAATATGGCGATGCTTTTTTGAGAGGAAACAATGGTATGTAGCTGTTAGGATCTTTTACCCCATTCACACCAAAGCTCAAACATGTTTAAAAGCTGTTTTATCAGAGCAGGTCTGAAATTTTGATCCTGATAGAAGCTGCCTAAACTGCTATTTGTCGGCTTCAAATTTAACATATTGAAAAAAAAATTTAACTTGACTTCTTGAACCCTATGGAGAATTCAGTAAATTTCTAGTACTCTGTTTCTGATTTTCATTCAGTTAAACATGGTTTGCTGGTGTGAATGAGGTACAAGTCTGTTGAAAGGACACTCCTCAATTTTGAAAGTAAAAATTGAATGAGAGGAAGAATGAAATAGACCACTGCCCTTTTCAAAAGGAAACAACAACAACAGAAAGTATTAAACTGGTTAAATAAATATGTAAAAAATGGTAAAGTTTGGCTTAGCACTATTATGTGTTTTGCTTTTTTGTATCCAATATGATTCCCCTTTTGTTCTTGTTCTACCACTCTTTTAGCAGCAAGGATTTACATTGAAACTCTTTATTCATGGTGTCCACCATTTAACCCTTTCACTTGTAAGATCTCATTGGTAATTCTCCTTTGTGACTGCTATACAATCATTATAATGTTAGTTCAGAGAATTTGGTATTAAATCAACTAATAATCCCCTAATTGACATTTTTCTTTATTCACATTACTTCTCTGCTTGATATTGTGATGATGTTATAAGGAGAAATTCTACCTTGGTCACTCGTGGAGGTTAAAGGGTTAACCCTTTAATTCCCAAGATCTCATTAGGAATTCTCCTTACGGTCTGCCAAATGATTCTCATTATGTTAGTTTGGAGAATTTGGTATTGCATCAATTAGTAGTTCCATAATTGATGTTTTTCTTTATTCTCATCACTTGTCTGCATGATATTGTAGAGATATAGTAGGAAGAAATTCTTTCTTGATCACGCACGGGATTTAAAGGGTTAAGTTAGGTACGTTACTGATGTTCTGTGTTCGCTTTTCAGTGTTGTACATCAGTACACAAAAGACAAGCCGAAGATGACAATGAGAGGGTGTATAAAGGAAAAAATCAGACCGCATGATCCCACAAAAAGTGTAGTTGTTAGTCTGCTCAGAATTCCCTGTAAATAGCCGATGTTTTCGTATTTTCTAATAAACTTTTCTTTGCCTCTTAACAGAAAGTTCTTCTTGATGTTGCTTAACTTCTGATATGATTTTTTAACTGTCAGTCAACACCAAGGACAATCTCTCTTGATTGATCGAATACCTTTCCTTTTCCTATTCTCTGATTGGTTAAGGGAGCACTTGTGCTTTTAACCGGGTTGAAATTCGCCACCATAAATAAATATAAATAGTCTGTGAACTGTTGAAGTAAGTTAGTTGAAAGAAAGAGTTAACGATTTTACTGATCATTCTACTATCGTCAGCAGTTTAAAAGATTGAAGTGAAAGTTGAGCCTTTTTCTGTCGAGATAATTTAGATTGAAAGAAACTGGGGCCGATACGAATGGAAGATTGAAATCTGCGAGGGCTGATGGGTTTGAACTTACAGATTGCTACTGGTGATAGCCCTCCTCGAAAAGTTATGTAGACTTTTGATGCAGCTTTTCACGTTTTTTCAGATGATCAGACGGAAATGCTGGATTTTTTTGCAAAAAAAAGTGTGACATAGCAGTGTGTTCAGTGGACTGGTCACGTTCGTCGGTCAAAGATGAACATCGATCCCTTACACCGTCATTCCTCCTATTCGAATGATCAGACAACGATAGAACTCTTGAAATAGAGCATGGAGTCTGTTTGCTTTACATTGGATCTGTGTAGGAAGTAAGAAGCTCAATTTAATTCAGCGAAAGCGTCAAACCCGTTATTTTTGGATGAATGAAACGGGAAAGACTTCTCCAGTCACTTCGATGGATCTACACGCAACTGAGTAGGCAAACTATAAAAAAAAAAAATCTGCAAAGGCACAATTATCTTTACCCAAGAAGAGACGGAGCCTAATCTAGTCATAGACAAAGCTGACATTTTTCGCCAGCACACTTGATTTATGGTAATTCAGCAGCAGTTGGTGATGTGGTGAATGGTTCTCAAGTCAATTTCCTTTTTTTCGCTTGGAATTTTTAAATTAAAAACTTTCAGAGTTTTCAGTTAGAAATTTTTGCAAAATTTGAGTTTTTATTAGATTTATTATCAGATTTCTGCAAAGCTTGTCGTGCACGAGCTATCGAAGGTTTCCTTGCTCTGTATGACGAAAAACTCGTAGGAAATGGTTTCCATGGATTTTGGCTCAAAACAAAATCATTTTCTTCAGCTATCGGTGCGGTCAGTATCGAGATTCGAAGCATTGGAATTTTGGATTATTTCACAGTCTAATTTGAAAAAAACTATCTGAAACAAACCAAAAAAATTGAATGTAATAGAAAACCAAAACACAACAACAGCAACAACAACAAAAAAAACTATTTGAGTAGGAGTTTTCATCGAGCGAGAGAAAACCGCGGGTGAGACGCGATGGCTTCATGGCTTCACCCCGAAAAGAAAAGTCACCAAAATCAAGTTCCGCCTCTGCAGAAAAAATCAAGGATACCAGTCAGAATGACTCGCCTGAGCAGAGAGAGTGACAGAGGATCTTTGTCAGAGAACGAAGCCGCTAACAAAGCGCGGCTACAGAGAATTTCAGTTAGCAAACTTCAAAACAAGCGGCCATCGCGTATTCCGATTGTAGTGGATGAGAGGAAGAACAACGTTAACACTAAAGGCAATCTAACCAAGAATGTCAAAACAACTCGAGGAGAAATGCCTCTTGGAAAAAATTCAGGTATGTGTTTCAGCATTTGGCTAGCTTCACTTTTTCATTCATTGCATAAAAACTGAAGAGATCTTAGAAAACGGTTCAAGTGAAAGGCTGGAATTATAGTAAATCGACTGTATTACACCATACGCTGTAGGCAAGATGCGCAGTAGTTGAGATCAGTTGGATTAAATGTTTACGGTAACCATTTCATACAGGACTGAAAAAGAATGACTTTATTCCAATGTTCTTCGATTTATTAAACTTGATGAGTAAGACTTGTTTATAACTTGTGTCCTTCATTGTACAAAAGATTGTTACGAATGATCTCTTTTTCACCACGTTTCTATTCATTTGTTCATTTACCTCTTAATTTCATATCTACTCTGTTATTTTCATTTATTTGCTTTCACTTCGGTTTCCTGGATAAAAGCATTTTTCAAGTTGAGGTTTTGACCCAAAACTGGAGAGAGGCCGCTATAGGCCGCTGACAGAAGTCATCTGCCATCTTCTTAAATTCAAGCCGTTACTTAGTTGATGCTCATTTGCACAGACTAGGGGCAGGTTTGTGCAGTAACAGCTCCACGACTTTTTCTAAGGAAATTATATGAGTCTCTGATTTTTCTAAGGGGTCACTAATTGGCAATTTTGATTTAGTCACAGGTATTAACCTTCAAGAAACTCAAGAAAAACAGGGCAAGAAGAGAGCGATCTCCATTATTTCAACTACGGCTAAATATGGCAGTTATAGGCGCGTTAAGAAAACGACGCCAAACGTTAGGCGACGTGTACCACGACAACTTACACCCATAGAAACAGAGCCGAAACAGGTAACTTTGAATAACATCTATTATTTGAAGCGATTCTGCGAATCCAGAAATTAAGTTTCTGAGAGGAGAAGCAACTTAGTCGTAAACGGAATCACGCATTCTAATTGCGACTTGTCACTCGTGGTGATCATGATTTCTGGCTTCGTTTTTGCCCGTTTTCCCTATCATAGTGATATTCAACAAATCCAAGGAAAACAATGCATTTTATTCTTAATTAAACAGGTCTGTAACGATGAGAAAGAACCACGTGAAGAAGGCTCGGCTAATGAGGTATCATCCTCAGCCAGAACTGTAGAAGTAACGCCAGACTTTGAGTGTAACGTTGCACCTGTGCGCGAGGAAGAGCTCCATATGGGAACTGAAGCAGATTTCAGTGACAGTGGGTTTGGCTACGACTTTGAGAGTCAGTCAAAATCTTCAGACAAGAAGGCAATTCCCAATGTGGGAATTTCATATCTGAGGCCAGTGGGGTAGGGTATAAACATGTTACAATTTAAACAATAAAAAATTAAGAAAAAAACAAGTACCGGTAATAGTAGCAGGCAGTGCACAGATCTCTTTCAGTCCATCTATTGTTCTAAGAAGGTTTTTTTTTTCCTAAGCTTTTCTTTTGCATTTGCCGCATTGCAATCTACCTGTGAGATCACTTGATCGCTTATGACCCAAAGGTCGTTTCTTATTTGGAATTTTTTTCGATATACTTTACGTACTACTACTATATGTAGTTCCAGAACTACCAAGAATTGAAGCGCAAAAGTTATTTGCGTCTTAATACTCTATTTTTCAAGGTATCAGGAAAATTGGCAGTGGTTGGCTGCCAGAGATCTTATTCGGATTGAATGATCTCAGAGCTTTCAATCCGTTAAGATTTTGCTCAGTTTTAAATTTCTTATAGTGGTAATTTCCTGAGTTAACGATTTTTTGACGAAGTGTAATATATAAACTAATGAGCAAGTTGTCTGGGGGGGGGGGGGGGGGGTTACCATTAGAGACTTCGATGCAGTTGATCGATATGAATGCATTTTTCGCAGGGAGAGAGAGGAAATAGACGATAACATCGCGAAAGATGACAACGCCGTTACAAGTGCGGCACAAAATATCAGACTTGAACCAGAGTTTGAATTAGATAGCAAAATGGATGCCGACGAATGCAGCGACTTAACAGGATACAAGCGATCTGTTTCAGCAGTCGTAAACATTTCTGGATATTTATTCCAACAAGAGTTGTCCAAGGCTTTGGAAACTTCTATACCTAACAGTAAAAAAGAGTCTGCATCGCAATCGGAAGAAAAGTTCACAGAAGATGAACCAAAGCTCCATAAAGAAAACGTCGAAATGGAATTGAAAAAACTTAAAAGGGAAAATACCGAGCTCGAAACGCAAATGAGCGTCATGACTGAGGAGCTTGAGAAGTACCGAAAGAGGATAGAAACTTTGCAGGCTGACCTGGATGAGAGCAAAGTTGAAGTAAAGCGACTTCAATTTAAGGAAGAATACAAAGAAAGAGAACTGGCAAATTTAAAACGTGATTTTCAGAGCAAGGAGCGAAAATGGGAAGAAGGAAATGAACACGTGGAAAAGGTTACGGCGGAAATAAGAGATCTCTGGGACGATGTCGATTACTTGGAGGAAAGCTTAAAGAACAGTCAAGATAGGAACGAAGATCTAACGTTTGAGGTTGATGAGCTGACGATAATGATGCAGGAAATGAAGAGAAAATATCGGATGGAACATAGTCGCGGTGGATGCGGACATCTACGAGAGGAAGTAGAGTTACTGAACGGATCCCTGGAATTGAAGGAACAGCGAGTTGTTCTGTTAGAGAGCCAAATTGACGCTTTTGAAGCAGAAAGAAAAGAATTATTGAATAATGTTGATTACTTGGAGGAAAGCTTAAAGAACAGTCAAGAAAGGAATGAAGTTTTGACGTTTGAGGTTGATGAGCTAACGATAATGATGCAGGAAATGAAGAGAGAATATCGGATGGAACATAGTCGCGGTGGATGTGGACACTTACGCGAGGAAGTAGAGTTACTGAACGGATCCCTGGAATTGAAGGAACAGCGAGTTGTTCTGTTAGAGAGCCAAATTGACGCTTTTGAAGCAGAAAGAAAAGAACTATTGAGTAATGTTGATTACTTGAAGGAAAGCTTAAAGAACAGTCAAGAAAGAAATGAAGATCTGACGTTTGAGGTTGATGAGCTGACGATAATGATGCAGGAAATGAGAAGAGAATATCGGATGGAACACAGTGGCGGTGGATGCGGACACCTACGCGAGGAAGTAGAGTTACTAAATGGGTCCCTAGAGCTGAATGCACAGCGAATAGTCATGTTAGAGAGCCAGGTGGACGCGTTTAAATCAGAACGCTCTAGCTTTAAAAATACTGTTCAGAGTATGAAAAGAGAAATGGAGTTTCTTAATAACGAAAAGGCGATGACGAAGACGCAGTTGCATGAACTGAAACGTGAAACATCAAAGAATATTAGCGATCTTCAAGATGAAATTGCAAAGTTACAAGAAGAAAAGTCCACCTCGTCCTCCGAAATGCCAAAGGAATCAGGAAAAGATAACCAGTTGTGTGAGATAACAAGTGAAAAATCATGGATTACAAGAAAACTTGAAGATCACATAACAAGATTAAGAAGAGAGAACTGTTCTTTAACCGCAAGAGTTTCAAAGGCATACGAAAAGGATGTCCAGTTGATTGAACTAAAAGAAAAAGTGGAACTGAATAAGTATCATTTGAAAAGTTTGACTGAGGCGGCGAAGGCGTCTTTGAACAGCAAAGAGAAGGAAGTGGAGGAAGCTTACCGCGTCATAAAGAAGCAAGACGAAACGATCAAAAATCTAATCGAAGAGATAAGGCAGGAAAGGTGTGACAGGGGCCGCCTCGAACTACAGTCTGAAAAAATCAAAGAACTTGAAGCTCAAGTACAAAGAATGGAGGACATAAAAAGAAACACACTTCACTCAGAGGATGCCTTGGTGCTTGAAGTGAGAGAAGAAAGGTCAGAAAAAGAGCATTTGAAAAAGGCTGTGGAAGCTAAAAAGTGTAGTTCTCATACAGCGAAAGAGCTTTACATGAGAATTGGACATCTAGAGAATCAGCTACGCAAGAGGGATGACCTAACAAATGCTACTCTTACTTCTCTAAAAGAAAACAAGAGCTCACTAAAGGAAGCTAATGCCACCATCGATTTACTGACTGAACAGTTGGAACGGGAAAAGTCGGATAACGAAACTCTAAGAAGGGCTCTCGAAGTGTATGAGAGTAACTCCCATACCGAAAAAGAAAAGACTGAGAAAATTGAAAAACTGGAGGAGCAGTTGCAAGAGATGGATGATCTACGAGAGAAGACTGTTATGTCTCTTAAAGAGAAAGAAAGGTCATTGGAGGAGGCTTGTGATGAGATCAAAGAGTTAACTCAACAAATAGCACATGAAAAGTCGGACAAAAAGTATTTCAAGAAGAAGTTTAAGGCTAGTGAGGGCATCGCTAATAGACTGAATCTCGTTCAAAAAAGGACTAAGAGACATACACAGAAGAAGGGTTCTATAACGGCACACGTGGGAAAAAGGCTGAAGAGCTTGGTACAGAGACAAACGGAAGTGATAGAAAAAAAAGCCAATATAGGGCGTGTGTTAGACAAATTAAGGGAAGATTTGATTGAGAGAGAAGAATCAATGGAAGGTTTAAGAAGTAACTTTCATCATAGTGCGGAGGAATTCTTGTCCATGCGAAGGCAGCTTGAAGACAGTCAATTTGAAAATGCCGACCTCAAACAGCGTCTTGGAGACCAGGATGACAAAGTTAAAACGCTTGAAATAACTATCAAACAACTTGAGGAAGATCTTCATAAGACGCACGAATACCTAAATGAAAGAGAAGCTGGCCTTGATGACGCGAATGAAACCCTGCAAATGAAATGCTCGCTTCTCACAACCTTGGGAGCCAAATTATGTCTAAAGAGCAAAGAGTTGACTCAAGCAAACAAGGACAAAGGCTTAGAGATAACTCGTATTGAGACCACACTTAGAGAAGTGAAAAAAAAGTTAGACATTGCTGTATCCATCATCGAGAAGCAAAATGAACAATGTGCTAACCTTAAGACTTGTGCAATGAGAAAAACCCGAGATGCGGAAGAGATGCAAGACGAATTGAAACGCTTGTCAACTCAACTTGAATGTGCCAGGAAAGAGAAGGAAAACTTACAACGAGCATTGTTAACTGCTACAGTGCCTCTCGAAAACAGGAGGTTCTTCGCAGAAAAAGAACAGAAGGCTCTACAGGTGAAAGTAAATTCTGGTTTGAAAGAATTGAATATCAAAAGTAAACAATTTTGGGACATGGAGATGGACCTTCAGGACGCTGCAGCTCGGGTCTCTGTACTTGGAGATGAAAAACCAGAGCAAGAGGGAAACATAGCAGCCTTTAAAGGAAAAGTATCACGAAACCTTGACCTATCAGTGGAGGGACAGTACGTGGAAAGTGAAAAGGAGAGTCCGCTCCTATTGACAATTGGCTCAGCAGAACATGAGATGGCTAAGCTGACAAAGGAGAATCATAGGCAGTTCGGCAATGAGTTATTGCACGATAGGCTCGAAAACAAGTCTTCTGAGTCAACAAGTGAGGTGAGATAATTTCCTTGCAAAGTGGGAGAGCAATGCGAAAGCGCGAGACGACGGACACGGAAACCACAATCATTTGGGGCTGTCACCTTCAAATCTCTGCACTTTTGAATTAAATTGATTTGTTGAAATTTTGACATGCATATACTCAAGCGTTAATTGTTTTTTTTGTGCATCTTCAGGAAAGAACGTTTAGCATCCTGGAAACCAGGAGAGTAACAACTTTATACAAAGTAACATTTTTGGCAGATGAAAATTGTCAGGAGGACACTAAGAATAAATGGTCAGTAAGGTTTTATTGTTTCTAGAATATTATAAAGTAGTTTTAGGTGGAGCTTTAATTCTCGTTGTAACTGCTTCAGAATTTATCTTTTTTTGTCGCCCTTCACTGTTGCTAACTCGCAAATGTGACCGCACGGAGAAGGCTTGGTTGTGACGAAGGGGTTGATGGTCAGATAAAAAATAAGGAAGATTTTAGCCAGCAAATAGAGATCCCTTTTGGTCACACTTTTCTTTCAGTAAAACAAACAAGTTTGATAAAACAGACAGATATTAAATTTAAAAATAGGCCTGGGATCCTCATGCATCCTATAATTAACTAACGCGATAATAGCGGGATTCTCGCCATGCATATGAATAAACTATAATCTTCCGTTGTTTCCCTACGTTCCTCAACCCTTACCCTGTCATTTTTTCGTCTGTAATTTAGTAATGAAAGCGTTTCCTACTTTTAATTGCAGGGCGAATACTTCTGGGATGGAGAAACGTGTTCAAACAAGGGGAGATCCACACTTCAACCGCGCCAGCGCTGAGGTTGAGGTTGACCATTCCATGCACAAATCACCTAATACAGTTTCAGTCATCCACTGCAATGGTTAAAGTTTTGCAGGAAGTCTATATCGGCAAACTGAGCGAAGTGTGATGATATAAGATATTTATTTTTCATCATCATTGAAAATTATACTTGCAATATTGATAATGTTAAAGGTTTTTTTTTCGAAAGGGTATGCTTGCCTTATGTAAATAAATGACTGTATTTTTATAGCACTCTTGCTTTGACATTAATTGTAAATATATTGAAATACCTAAAAAAGTAATTGATCCTTGTTTTGTGTTATGGAAGGGAACAGTGAAGAATTGGCGAAGGAGCAATCTTCCCATTACAAATCACAGGCCCCTATTTGGAATCTACATGGGTCTTCCCAAACTCCTCCCGTCCTTGCAATACTCGGTTTGGAGCTCTTTAAATTTTGAATGAATTTAAGGGTGTTATTAGTGTTGCAAAGGTAGAGACAAAGCAAATGCATACACCAACACAAGCAAGAGGTGAGCATCGGAAGGTCTATTTTTCAACAGCCAAACTCAAAAGTTGCCATTTTTCCCCTTACTGTTTAAATACATGACGCTTTCGACATCGCCGCACATGAACCACGTGACCTCTTAAGTTTCTGATGGAACCCTGTTCCCTGCTCTATTCATTTAAATTCGTTCTCTTTTGAATCATGAACGAGAGAGTAGGAAACCAAAAAATTAAGTGTTTTGCCTCTTTCCATTTCCTTTGCGCCTTTCCTGGTAGAAGTGCTTTCCCGTCCTCGGCCGCCTTTAGAATTTTAGCAAATAATAAAATGCTGAACAAGAGCATGAGCTCGGAACCGCCAATTTATCGAGTTTCTTGCATATCAAAGGCTGCTTCTGCTAATTGTGATAAAAATTTCGAAAATCATTACTTTGCTTAAAGCCTTTTTGATCGATAACCTTTTTATCCTTGTGGTTGCTCTTTTAGCAAAGGTTGAAAAGATCAGCAAGTTTCATTTACTTTCTGCTATGTCGAATATCCGTTGCTTTCAGAAGTTATCCTTGACTTACATCTTGTGATTAAAAGGTACTTTCCTGATACAATAGCGTGTTTGCTTGTCATTATTGATTAGACTTTGCCCTATTAAATGATCTTTTCCAGTAAACTACCTAAGATGAACGACATAAAGAAAAATTATCTCAGTGGTTTCCGATATGCCATATTCAAAATCACCTCATCATGGCCTCAGCCGCGCGTGCCAAGAAATTAAAAAACAAAACTTTTTCTTGTAAAATTTGTAATGTGGTCAGCGTAAAACAGAAACTTAGGAAAAAAGTTTTGTCTCTGAAAAGACGGAATTTATTTACCGTTTGAATCAGCAAACTGTTTTCAACAGAACTGAAGAAATAATTTTTTTTCTGTGCTTGCAGTTGCGCTACAGGTGACAATAATTGTTTAGAATGACCTCGCGCGGATGCGTACAGAAAAAAATTTCCCTGCGGAAAAATTCAAATGGAGCTTTCTTTGGCAAAAAAACGTGTCACCCATGTAGGCCAAGGTAGAGAAAAATTTTATCTCATGTCAAAGAAAAGCAAAGAGGTGTTGCCGAGGGAGACTATGGAATAATGAGCGTTCATTGTTGTATGCAGTCATTTCGCGCCTTTGAATGAAAGCTATTTAAATTCCAACAACCTTTTTTACTGCGCAGCTTAGCCGATGTGATCATTTTCAAATTTTCAGCGGTGATGTATTAGTTTCTGAAACTGAAAAACTGAGTACGGTCTCACGAAATCTTTCATGTTACTATTACATTTCTAAGATGTCTTAATCATTGCTCGTGGAATACAGTTAAAATTATCGCGCATTCCCTAACAGCCAAGATGAGACTTCCAAGAGTTTGTCAAAAACTTTTATGGTAAAACTGCAGCGAACTGATCACACTTCGGAGCTTCACTTCACCAAGATATCAACAACTCACAACTCTAAACCACCTTGGGCTGGTGTGAATTGTTTGATAAAATGGTTGACACGAGAGGAGAAGGACTCTGACGTAGAACTCTGGACCTCCAGGTTACAACATGGTAAAAGACACAACAGTATAAGTTATTAGAAAGTAGCAACATGATTAAGTTTTACACCGAAGGTATAGAATACTAGTGTGATACATAGATGGGCAGGAGGTTCGCACAATAACTTTACGATGCAATGTTTGTCGCCTAATACGTATTCATTCCTATATTTCGACATCATTAGCAATATTATTACCTAAATCTTATTTTATACAAAATCACCAATGTTTTATCAGCATCTTAGTAGACGTATACGAATGACGAAACATCGTTTATCTTGTCTCTCACTAATGTCTTCAACATTTCATGAAAGTGCATAGGTACAATTGTGATGGATTAAAGGTTATTTCTAATTTTCACAAATGTAACTTTCTTCCATTTTGTTGAAGGTTATCAGTAATAAGATACAGCCGGTTCTAGTTGGAACAGAGCCACTGAATGTGTGCGTGATTACCAGAGCGGGCACTCTTCATATGGAAAGAAAGCGACTGAGGTTAATGTTCTTGGTCATTCGAACAACTGAAGCTCTTCAGTCTGTGCTATTTATTTTCCTCGTGGATTGTTGGAAGTTATGAACTGCAAGAGAGAGAGAGAAAGAGAGAGATTGGGACTCAATGTACCACGGATGTGCTCCTGAAGAAAGCCAAAAGGACTCAAAAGTAAGTTTTTTCTTAAAGGAGGAGCTAGCTTCAGAAACCGTTTAAATTTTATCTCTGCGCAAAAAAAAAAATCATGCAAAAAATGTAGACCTATAATTGCGTTTTGAACTTCAAAAGAGTAACCTATTAGTTCTAAATTTGTCTTTAAATTAGATAAATATTCTGCTTCGGAGTTAGGATATGGACACCTCTAAAGTTGCAGTAGAGACATTATTTGTAATGATCAGTGGCGAACATGGAATATATATTTATACAAACTACAGTCAAATTTCCAATAATTTCCCTTTCGTAAGCGGACAGTTCTACCTAAGGACACTTTTTTCAATTCCTGTTGTGCCTCCTAGTCAAACTCTGTATTTATACATTCCCATAAGCGGACATTCTCTCGTAAGTGGAAGCGGACACTCTTGATAGCAAAAATTTGATTTTTTTCTTTTGTTCACGCTTTCTCGAAGGTGGACACCCCATGCAAACTAATTGATTCTCAGCAGTGAAATTTGTCTTTAATATGCAAATATATAAATCAACCAAAAAACCTTTGACAGGGCAATAGGACAGCGGGGATCGGTTTTGTCAAATCTCCATTTGTCCACAAGAAAGCAACCTGTCTATTCTTATGACACCATTAACACTCGCCCGTAAGCGGACATCCACCCTATTTTTCTCTGGTGTCCGCTCGCATGATTCACGTAGAGGGGCAATTCTACCAACGGACACTATTTTAATTCCCGAGGATGTCCGCTCACGAGAGAGTTGATTGTATACATTTCTTGTGAAAAAAGAAAAGAAAAAAAATAGCGTTAAAATCCTTTTTCAGTCAGTACAATATAGAGTGCAAAGAAAAAACAAAACACAACATTTTCATGAATTAACCTTAGTTGCACCTTACTGATCAAATTCTGATTAACATACTTTGCCTCTATTTCAAATTCTTAGAAATTTATCCATACAGTTCATCTCAAAGAGCCACAGTAGTCTTTCAAATGTTTAGTATTAATTGTTTACAACAGAGGGAAAGAGAGTTTAAGCGATAACAATTTTTTGTGGAAATCTTTCAGCACACGTCATTTACCTCAAGCAATCTTCTTTTTCAGCTTTAGTATCGTGTTTTTGTAAGAAGCATTTCAATCCCCACGGACAAGTTGGATCACGAAACACCAAAGGTACCTTATATGTAACGGTGAAAGAAATAGAATTTCAATCTGAGACTTGTCAAAAGTGTCAAGTGAAAATTTCTGGTCGACTTTCATGAGGATTCAAACCTCAGATCTACCCATTTTGCTGTTAATGACCATGAGGATTCAAACCTTAGACCTTAAAACTTCACCATCTGCTCCACATGACGGGCAGAAGAAGAAATTAGGGCAGAACATTTGTGAGGATTCAAACCTCATTCGAAATCATTGCACAATACTCGTACGGCAGAGTAGAAAGACAACGTATATTTACAAGAGGATTCAAACCTCAGACTTTGCAATATCGGTATCAAATGCTCTACTAGCTGAGCTGAGATTGAAATGTGTTGATCGACCTTTAGTAAGAAATTACACGTAAGACATGTAAAATGAAAGTTTCTAGTCGACTTTCATGAGGATTCAAACCTCTGATCTACCGATTTTGCTGTCAGATACTCCACCTGCTGACGTATACATACTTCGTTTATACATAAAAAAAACAAAGCAGGGTCAGTGACCATAAGGATTCAAACCTTAGACCTTTAAACTTCACCATCTGCTCTACAAACCGGGCAGAAGAAGAAATTTGGGTGGACCATTTGTGAGGATTCAAACCTCATTGAAAGTTGCTTCACAATGCTTTAGCGGCAGAGTAGGAAGACAAAGTTCAGAGTAAACTCACGTGAGGATTCAAACCTCAGACTTTGCAAATATCGGTATCAAAGGCTCTACTAGCTGAGCTGAGAAAAAAAAAGTGTTGGTCGACTTTTGCTAAGAAATTACAAGTTAAACGTGTGAAATGAAAGTTTCTGGTCGACTCTCATGAGGATTCAAACCTCAGATCTACCGGTTTGCTGTTATATACTCTACCTGCTGAGGTATACAAAACTCGTTCAGCTATTGTTCTTTTATTTGCATTTCGTTTTCTACTTGAGTGTGTGATCAACAAGCTGTACAGATACAGTTTTGTTCTTTGCTGGAGGGAAACACCTGATCAATTCAAGTTGGTTTTCAAGCCAGCGATCTGGGTGACCAAACAACAAGACTTAACACATGATGAGAGCTGCTTACCTGATCAGGTCAGGATTATATTAAAGATATCAACAATTCATGAAGTATGGTTGAACTGTCCCAAAAGCATTAAACTCGCCATTTTTAAGTACAGATATCAAATATACAACTGAAATTTTGAATCAAAACTGATGGAGAACTGCAAGTATATTTCAGTAACAATCATGAAATGTGTATTTTTGGAAAAGAAGAAAGATTAAGATAAAGATCATATTTAAAAGCTTCACATTTAACACGGAAAAATGATAAATTAACAACAAAATTAAAAATATTAAACCAAAACAAAGAGACATTTCTATGGAATTGATATTCCTTGCTATTGCTAGT